AAATCATATAAGACACACACTTTTACTGAATCATAAATAATATTATTTTAAGAAATAATGAACACTGACAACAGGCATGTGGTTCGATCTGCATAAATATAACGAGGAGTAATCAGTATTAACAAAATTAATATTTTTTTCCATGTAATGAAACCATAAGCGACCTTGCTTTAAATCATGTAATACATACACTATTACTGAAATAAAAATTAATATTAGTTAAAGAAAAAAATGCACAGACAACAGGCATGTGATACGATCTGCCAAAGTGTATGATGAAGTATATTCAGTATTCACAAAATAATAATTTTTTTCCAAGTAATGAAATCATAAACGACATTGTTTTAAATAATATAGGACACACACTTTTATTGAATAAAAAATAGTATTATTTTAAGAAATAATGAACACTGACAACATGTATGTGATTCGATCTGCCATAACATATAACGAGGAGTAATCAGTATTAACAAAAAAAAATATTTCCAAGTAATGAAATCATAAACGACGTTGATTTAAATAATATAAGACACACACTATTACTGAATAAAAAACAATATTACTTTTAAAAATAATGCAAATCAACAACAGGCATGTGATTTAAACAATATATAAAATATCATGAGGAATAATCAATATTCATGAAAATAATATTATTTGTCCAAGTAATGAAATAATAAACCATGACAAATTATTTATAATGGCCATTTGGTTGGATATATATGTTGGGTCAGTCATACCCAGTAAGTACATATATTTACTATGTATATATGCCTTCTTCTTAAGTTTGCAAATACTTCAATTGATAAACTCCAATGGTCGAAATTTATAGCAAATACGTCAAGGAAAAGCTAATTCCTATTAGGTTAATCATAAGTCACCCAGGGTAAATATATGGTAAGAGTAATGATTTAGACATCTCAGTTGTTCATAGTTGTAATGGCATAGAGAAAGTAAGACCCGACAGGATCATGTACCAAAGTTCAACGCAAATAACTGTTAAATCCTCTTACCTTCTAGTACACATCAAAATTAAATCCATATTTATTTTCTTCAGAATTTTACCTTCAATATTCAATAACTATTTAGATAAGTATCAACTCACATATCACTAATGGTCACCTACAAAAAAGCCCAAACATCACTGATCACATATAATGAAAAAGCATTGACATTTCAAATAAGAGACAGTTATTTACATAGCGAAGTCAACATCCTAAACGGAAGTACGTCCATCTTCTGATTGGTTGATAAATATCAGAAGATAAATTGGAAAACCCCACTAAGCTGAAATAGAGCTATTGTCATGAAGCATGACTTATATATATTGATAGTGTCACGCTACCTCTCTCGTGTCAATTACATATGCCATCACAAAGTCAGTTAAATTGAAATGACGTGTTTCTCTTTGTGATTTATTTGTGACAAATAATATAAACACACAGATGTAGCCAAACATACCTTATACAGAATTCGGATATTATAGCTAAGAACACAGACTTCTCAAAATAATTAAAAAACACTATTAGTGGCAGTTAAATATGCTCGTCTAAATAGGAATGTAAATGTCAAATTGAAACATCATAAATTTCTAAATGTATTGAAAGTAAAATACTTGTCGGTGTCTGATTAAAAAATGTATGTGTCTTAGTGTTGGGATATGTACAACACTCGTCTATATGGTCATACAGCGTAAATAGAAAAGCTAGGCTTACATGTACTCACCGTCGACATACCATTCTAGGTTTGTTAAAATATAAGGAATACATGTTTGTATTTGAAAGAGGTCCATGATCGTGGGTCGGTCACCATGGAAACTAAAATGCATGTGTCTCATAGGTCAGGTTTAAGGAAGGGAAATGCTATCAACATGCATCCGTTTGTGAAATGAGAAGCACATCCTCAATGGTTTTTTCCCCAGTTATTCCTGACAACGAAACATTGCTGAGTCAGACAGTTGGCAATAGAGGCTGTTAAAATGAATAGGTTCATTGTATACAAACGCGAGTTATTTATTTTCAGATAAAAATAGTTTTGTCAGCATGACATATTTCAGGCCATTTCATAAGACTGAGTAAATTTCTTCGCAGATAAGCGGGTTCCATGTATACTGTGTATACATGGCTAGAAAATACATAGTTGATAATAACAATGAAGTAGATATAATTTATAACGTCACACGTTGAACAGAAGCACTTCAGTCCGTCAATTTCGATGGTAAATCAAATGTTAAAACAATATACGATTGTGGGCATCTATTTCCGTGGGCTGTACCAGCACGTCTAACTAACTCAGCTATGGACAATTATATCGCCCAATCTGCGCGATATAAATGTTTCCTCGACCATGCATCAGTGTATTAATGGTAGGATTTAGTAAATAATTGCCGTGTTGCTAACACGTGATGCTCTCTTGCAATAACATAGATAATGCGATTAATTTCAATACTTTTTTACAGTTCGGTTTATTTGTGTATGTAAAAATACTTCAAATAGTGGTGTTCGAAAATCCGATTGCTTACTATAAATTAATATTTGAAAACGAAAATATTCACAGTTTAGATGGGGTCAATCACATCTCAGCATACCAATTTAAATATACATGTCTGTGGTGATTATAGAATCTGAGTACAAAATGAACAAGGAAAATATATCAACATCAACACAAAATAGCTCTCAATTAGTATATAGTAATTGAAGGACGGTGGACAATACAAATTATCTTTAAACAAATGTATGCGAAGTGTATTTCTGATATTTTATGTTTGGTTATGCTATTTTATTTATATCCAGAAGATTGCAATATGTTGTTCAAAATGTTGTTTCTGACGACGTTGTGTCAGTGTGTTGCTTATCACACTGGATGGTGTCCCATGCACTACTAATCTCGCTAACTTTGAAAGCGAGCGCCATTCTCAAATGCATTGCCGGGACCGCCATCACCGTTGAAGGCCACTCCTACAGATATTTTACATTCCCTAAACGTTTTTCAATCCACAATTTCCTGTCGCACATTTTTATACACAACACCATACCATGTCACAGAGTTCGGGATCATTCTCCGCTGTTAGATGCATTCGTACACGTGTTTCAGTATAAGAATCATGTTTTGGTAATTATATTCTGTGTTTTGTATGTGTTAATACAACTAGTAAAGGCACCTGTGGGATCGGTTATGTGTTTTGTTATTACGCATTCTTAAGTGATAAGGGGTCACAAAGATACTGATGTGATGTTAATCAATACCGCATTGACTAATAAGGAATACTAATAGTGATTCTAAAACGAAATAATGTTTCCAATCTTTAATTGCTTATAATAGTAACATCAACATAAAACAAAATATCCTAAAATATAGACAGAGAACGATCGAAAAGTTACCAGTATTACATGGGAGTCAGATGATACAACTGTGTCGGAATGTGCCCTTCAAAGACACAGTAGCATACTTTTTTCAACAGTAACCGTTCATATAGCCAACATCTACAAGTTAGTTTGTTTTTATTCAGTGTAGCAAAGATAATGTTCATAATTCACTTGTAGCATAATTCAGTTGTTTAATCTGGTCGTGTGATTCGGAGTGAACATGGCTATTCACTATTTTAATTTATCTTTCGAACATTGTCACAACAGCAAACGCCGGACACCATTACATGTCTTGTGTCGTTCATAACACAGAAGAAATGATGACCAAATACAAAAATTAAAGCGTACACCGACATAGAGGGAAATACTGATTTTATCAGAAATAATGTATCTATTTATAAGCAAATCGTTTAAGATCTGAATAATTTTGGACTCATATTGATTAAAATAGGTAATATGAAAAATATTCATTTAACGCGGTATGTCAGATATGCTACATATTTGCCATGCATCAACCATCTGCCGTGTCTAGCCAACCAGAAGCAGTCGTGGACACATAGGACTAGTTGTGCCGGTGTAGGGTATGCAGGGTAGTGTCGTAAGGCATTGAGATTAATCAAACTCCTCCACTGCTTGTCTTAAACCCCGTCATGGTCACAATGAGTCTTTTTCATTCTTTCATGTGTCAGTCCTTCCTTCTGATAACTCACTTCTACATACGAAAATATAAATGTGAATTTCATAATTAATCTATTATGGCCTTAGCATGATAAATAAAAATTAGTTGGTGTAATTTGTCAAGGGTTATTTGTGTGGGAGATACGCACATCGAACATGGATTCAGCTATAGATTTGGATTAGTATTTTGAAAATCATTGAAAGATTAAACTACAACGATTCAAGTTGATATTTGTAGAGCGCTTTCTTAAACATACAGACGTTCTCCCAAACTTTCCTCCAAAAGGCCTGTTAATATGCACTGAATACTGGCCTGGATATGTATGGTATACTAATATGCACATATGTGTTTTAATTTTCTGTGTCTTTGTATGCACAATAAACACATACCTACAGTTTTATTGTGTAAGATGCAAGCTGTTGAGTTTGGTTTTCCCGCTGCTATATTAAATATCTAAGTAAAATCACAGAGTTATAAAACCCGGAATTGACTGAGATCTTTGACGTTGCGGGTGAGTGACTGAATTTGAACAGTGTTTCAGTTATCTCGCGGCGTGTGAGCTTTATTTTGGAGGGAAGCCTTAATTGATGCATTTCGTAGACATTTACCACTTCGGCGAAACCAACGAGTAGGCATAGGTGCTGGTGATTCCAAGGGTCTTAAACTGAACTGTTGAAGGAAGTAAATTATAACTTAGACGACAATTATTCAAACAGGAAATAATTCGCCTTTGTAATGCCGAGACTGTCTACTTTTAAATATTGGTTTTCTTGAAATGAGCCTTTTCAAAAGTGAGATAAACCGCATAAACATGCCTAAATGTTTCCATGTGAAACACGAAAACAAATATAATTCATGCCGATGTATAAAATGGTTGCTTTCACTTATTACCATGATGTCATTGTTAATAATGACTGATGGGGATGCGAGTTTTTCATGTCTTCTATTTTCAACAGGTGATGACGCACACTTATGTCGATCTGGCAGATGAGCTGCTCTGCGCAGGCGCAGATCCTAATGTCAAGGACATCAGCCACCGCCATATTGGCGGCACGAGTACTTACCGTACAATTTGCCACGACGTTGCCGAAAGTGGGTCGTTGCCAACTCTCCAGTGCTTGTTACGACATGGTGCTGACATATCTCTGAGGGACAAGCGAGGAAATACCCCTGCTCATGTTGCTGCCAAAAGCGGCCATTTTAAACTTGTGCAATACTTATTGTGTGGGATGGCGACGAACGTGACAAACGATTTGAAGCGCACGCCCCTTGACTACCTCGACAGTAAGGAGGACCCCGGATGTCGACAGTGGGTGGAGCGGAGGCGGTGTAAGTTGCAACGTGTAGTGTTGATAGAAAGGAAAAACAAAAAAAACAAAACAAACGAATCATAAAAATAATAGTAAAAAAAAATGAACATCTTATAAAACTTAAATATAGCGATAAGCAATTAAATGTACGTGCCAATGAATATCAAGTAGTGTAATTGAAAAAATATATACCTATACACCTTTTATATCTTATACCAGTATTTAAGAAAAACAACTAATTTGACTCACCACTACAATACTGAAATGTTCATGCATTATTCGCCATTGTCTCGTGTGACCACTATAGCGTTCAATGAGCAGGGCATGTTTCGGCTCCTTTCAATGTAACTGTTGTTATCACCAATGCACCACCATGTCAAGCACATGTAATTCATGTCTGCACAACTGAATGGACGTTTACTTTAAGTGTCGATAGGTCATCCTGACCCATGCCTTGTAAAACACGCATACCACGCGGAAATTGTGCCTTACATAGATATATGTCGCCCGCCACGGGTTTCACGGCTGTAAGCGAAACTATAGTGAATTTAGTATTTCCTATTTCCTCTAAAGGCTCGATGGTTTGAAGGAGTGAAAGGTTTCGTATGAATGCAGGACACGGCCGGGATAATGTTTGCTCAGATGAGATATTACTAATTGCAATCAGATCAAGTGCTTGTCTGTCATTACTGAGCAAATACATGAGGAATATAGAACGTGAACTGATGATGGAAATACTGGAGGGAACACATAGACGTAACATCGTACAAAATTGACCGGCTTTTGTTGGACAAATTAGTTACAAATAGATAGTCAGTATTTACTCTCTGTCTAACTTTCTCCATATGAAGAATGTATGAACGTAACAGCGAACTGCCCCTTGTTGTATGATCTTTTTGAAAGCTGGAATATATTTGAAGTCTGTGACCTACTGCTGCATAATGATATTTGAAATATTTATTCACGTTTTCCTGGGGCTCAGCTGCTTTAACTTATCTGGAAGTGTAGAACAGCCCAAAATATATTCCCGAGTAATGTGTATGTATCAATAATATATCAATAGCGGTGACCTTTACCATAAAAAAATCAGTTGTAATGATTTTTCATATATTCTCATTCTTTGGGATTTTAGTAGCAGGTAAGCGTATATATAAGCTATGGATGTTCGTTTCCATGGCCGATCTCACATGGTATATGATATTAATATGTGATACATGTGAAATATCATACACCTTCGTGAGACCTCATGCCATTGAGGAATGCGTCTGTTTGATATTTTCGTCGTGTTTATCACAAAATAAGCTTGGCCAGGGATGCTAGTTTTGGGAGAAGATTGAAAACAATTAGTTGTGATATTATTTTAGTTGTTAGGATCATATATTATTTAACAATATGTCCTGTTTGAACAATGTGGGTAGGTATGCCCTTTTCATGATAGAAGCGAACTGTGTTGCTATGATTTAGAGCTAATAACAGATTCGAGGGAAATGTTCACATTGAAGACATTTGTTCACATTGGCCTAATTTATAGCGTAGACTGATGATTTTCGTGTTAGCATGAAAGTAAATAGTAGATAATTCACCTTTGCTACATCTATACAGTTCTCTTCCAGCTACGCCAGCGACACTGCGGACGTTGTGTGTTGTTGTCGTTAGGTCAGCGCTGGGACCAGGAAGGTTGAAAGATCTGTCAAGGCTGCAGCTGCCGGGGCCAGTTGTCAGCTGTGTACAGCTTCAAAACCTGCGTGCTCTCGAGGCAGAGATAGACTGTTGATATGAATTGCCGAATATGAAGGAATAACATGTGTTCGATGTGTTGGACCACACTCCTAGTCGTGCTTGAATCAGCTTGCCATAGCTGCCCGTAATAAAACACAATTCAGCAGAGTTTAGTGAAGAGCTGATATTGGGTATCCGCAAAGCCCAAGCTGTTAGCTGCTCTACATCTTCACACAACGTACTAGATGTTCCAGTTCTTTTGTTTGTATAGTCAGCTGTGATGTCATAGACTGAGTATAGCCACGAGGCGAAAGCGTAGGACACATCTCGGTAAAAATGATTCGTTTATCCAGATATGTGTTATTCTGGACAGTGTATCTGGGAACGTTACCGTCCGGATAAACGAGGTGACACAATAGTATTCATCTGTATTCTGACTAATCTCAGAGAGCAGCAACAGGAACAACATTGCCTTGATAATCGTTGCATGATTTAACACGGCATTGCATGGTGTATAAAAAGCATTAGTGTGATAGATCGGTATTTTCCTTATACTTCCTTTACGTTGATTTTTCAATTCGTAATGTCTTATGGTTCCTTGGTGCATTTGTACGTCGTCAACAGTGCGTCTGCACGTCTTCGAAAAGTGCACGTCTTCTTCATTGTGTAATGACTAAATAAAGCTGATCCCACCTATTCTATCACCGTAGTTGTTTAACTGGTGTTTCTGTGATTCAAAATGTGTCTCATATCTATATACACGCACGCGCGCACGCACGCGCGCGCGCGCGAAGACGGGAATAATGCTGTAAGTTACATATATCCTGGTGGTTGGACTCGGGAATAGTGCTGTAACTTACATAGACCCTGATGGGCGGAGATGGGAATAGTGCTGTAACTTACATAGACCCTGATGGGCGGAGATGGGAATAGTGCTGTAACTTACATAGACCCTGATGGGCGGAGATGGGAATAGTGCTGTAAGTTACATAGATCCTGATGGACGGAGACGGAAATAGTGCTGTAAGTTACATAGATCCTGATGGGCGGAGATGGGCATAGTGATGTAAGTTACATAGACCCTGATGGGCGGAGATGGGAATAGTGCTGTAAGTTACATAGATCCTGATGGACGTAGACGGAAATAGTGCTGTAAGTTACATAGATCCTGATGGACAGAGACGGAAATAGTGCTGTAAGTTACATAGACCCTGATGGGCGGAGACGGGAATAATGCTGTAAGTTACATAGATCCTGATGGACGGAGACGGAAATAGTGCTGTAAGTTACATAGATCCTGATTGGCGGAGATGGGAATAGTGCTGTAAGTTACATAGATCCTGATGGGCGGAGATGGGAATAGTGCTGTAAGTTACATAGACCCTGATGGACGGAGACGGAAATAGTGCTGTAAGTTATATAGATCCTGATGGGCGGAGATGGGAATAGTGCTGTAAGTTGATCAGACCTTTAATCACTGGTTTGACTCGTCCAGATTACGTACATGGCACTTTGTGTAAAGCCAAAATATTACTGACTGTTGGAAATCCTGCGACCCTCTTATTGAATTCAATGGGATAACTCACTCGTCTAAATTAACATTGATGTGTAACTGAAAACGTGTGTGCCATAGAGCTTAAGGTACTTAATAGTTTCGACCTTTACACATCTTGACACAGATCGCTAACCGCACTTTACCATGTGCTGCATTTGTGTATGATCCAAAAAAAACAAATAACACTACTTCTATAACGTCATTCACAACATATTCGTTTTATAAATGCATGGTGGTGGGGTGGATGAAACTGTGTAATATTAGATCAAGAATAGTAGATTGTAATTCTTTAGTATGTCCTATCATTTTCATTGAATGTAGGTATTTACAGATTTTTACGGTCAGCTTACAGCGGAACTGCATCTTTCCAATATAAGTAGCAGAATCCGTCCAAAACATCAGCAGAACCCGCCTCTAACATCAACAGAGCTCGTATCTAACATCAGCAGAGCCCGCCTCCAGCAGCTCCAGAGGCCGCAACTAACATCAGCAGAACCCGCCTCTAACATCAACAGAGCTCGGATCTAACATCAGCAGAGCCCGCCTCTAACATCAACAGAGCTCGTATCTAACATCAGCAAAGCCCGCCTCCAGCATCTCCAGAGGCCGCAACTAACATCAGCAGAACCCGCCTCTAACATCAACAGAGCTCGTATCTAACATCAGCAGAGCCCGCCTCCAGCATCTCAAGAGGCCGCAACTAACATCAGCAGAACCCGCCTCTAACATCAACAGAGCTCGTATCTAACATCAGCAGAGCCCGCCTCTAACATCAACAGAGCTCGTATCTAACATCAGCAAAGCCCGCCTCCAGCATCTCCAGAGGCCGCAACTTACATCAGCAGAACCCGCCTCAAATATCAGAAGAGCACGTATCTAACATCAGCAGAGCTCGTATCCAACTTCAGTAGAGCCAGCCTCTAACATTTCCAGAGGCCGCCACTAACATCTCCAGAGGCCGCCACTAACATCAGCAGAGCCCGCCTCTAACAACTGAAGATCCCGCCTCTAACATCAGCAGAGCTCGTCTCTAACATCAACAGTAGCCGCCTCTAACATCAACAGAGACCGCCACTAACATCTGCAGAGCCCGCCTCAAACATCATTAGAGCACGTATCTAACATCAGCAGAGCTCGTATCTAACATCAGCAGAACCCGCCTCAAACATCAGCAGAGCACGTATCTAACATCAGCAGAGCTCGTATCTAACATCAGCAGAACCCGCCTCAAACATCAGCAGAGCACGTATCTAACATCAGCAGAGCTCGTATCTAACATCAGCAGAACCCGCCTCTAACATCTCCAAAGGCCGCCACTAACATCTCCAGAGGCCGCCACTAACATCAGCAGAGCCCGCCTCTAACAACTGAAGATCCCGCCTCTAACATCAGCAGAGCTCGTCTCTAACATCAACAGTAGCCGCCTCTAACATCAACAGAGGCCGCCAATAACATCAGCAGAGCCCGCCTCTAACATCAGCAGAACCCGCCTCTAACATCAACAGAGGCCGCCAATAACATCAGCAGAGCCCGCCTCTAACATCAGCAGAACCCGCCTCAAACATCAGCAGAGCTCGTATCCAACTTCAGTAGAGCCCGCCTCTAACATTTCCGGAGGCCGTCACTAACATCTCCAGAGGCCGCCACTAACATCAGCAGAGCCCGCCTCTAACAACTGAAGATCCCGCCTCTAACATCAGCAGAGCTCGTCTCTAACATCAACAGTAGCCGCCTCTAACATCAACAGAGGCCGCCACTAACATCTGCAGAGCCCGCCTCTAACATCAGCTGAACCGACCTCTAACATCAACAGAACTCGCTGCGAACATCTGCATAGACCGCCTCTAACATCAGCAGAGCTCGTATCTATCATTAGCAGAGCCCGCCTCTAAATCTGCAGAACCCGCCTCTAACATCAGCAGAACCGGCCTCTAACATCAGCAGAACCCGCCTCTAAATCTGCAGAACCCGCCTCTAACATCAGCAGTAGCCGTCTCCAACATCAGAAGAACCCGCCTCTAACATCAGCAGTAGCCGCCTCTACCATCAGCAGTAGCCGCCTCTAACATCAGCAGAACCCGCCTCTAACATCAGTAGAACCCGCCTCTAACATCAGCAGTAGCCGCCTCCAACATCAGCAGTAGCCGCCTCTAACATCAGCAGAACCCGCCTCTAACATCAGCAGTAGCCGCCTCTAAATCTGCAAAACCCGCCTCTTACATCAGCAGAACCCGCCTCTAACATCAGAAGAACCCGCCTCTAAATCTGCGGAACCCGCCTCTAACATCAGCAGAACCCGCCTCTAACATCAGCAGAACCCGCCTCTAACATCAGCAGAACCCGCCTCTAAATCTGCAGAAACCGCCTCTAACATCAGCAGTAACCGCCTCTAACATCAGCAGTAGCCGCCTCTAACATCAGCAGAACCCGCCTCTAACATCAGCAGTAGCCGCCTCTAACATCAGCAGTAGCCGCCTCTAACATCAGCAGTAGCCGCCTCTAACATTAGCAGTAGCCGCCTCTAACATCAACAGTAGCCGCCTCTAACATCAGCAGTAGGCGCCTCTAACATCAGCAGAACCCGCCTCTAACATCAGCAGAACCCGCCTCTAAATCTGCAGAACCCGCCTCTAACATCAGCAGTAGCGCCTCTAACATCAGCAGAACCGGCCTCTAACATCAGCAGTAGCCGCCTCTAACATCAGCAGTAGCCGCCTCTAACATTAGCAGTAGCCGCCTCTAACATCATCAGTAGCCGCCTCTAACATTAGCAGGAGCCGCCTCTAACATCAGCAGAACCCGCCTCTAACAACTGAAGATCCCGCCTCTAACATCAGCAGAGCTCGTCTCTAACATCAACAGTAGCCGCCTCTAACATCAACAGAGGCCGCCACTAACATCTGCAGAGCCCGCCTCTAACATCAGCTGAACCGACCTCTAACATCAACAGAACTCGCTGCGAACATCTGCATAGACCGCCTCTAACATCAGCAGAGCTCGTATCTATCATTAGCAGAGCCCGCCTCTAAATCTGCAGAACCCGCCTCTAACATCAGCAGAACCCCCCCTCTAAATCTGCAGAACCCACCTCTAACATCAGCAGAACCCGCCTCTAACATCAGCAGAACCCGCCTCTAAAATCAGCAGAACCCGCCTCTAACATCAGCAGTAGCCGCCTCTAACATCAGCAGTAGCCGCCTCTAACATCAGCAGAACCCGCCTCTAACATCAGCAGAACCCGCCTCTAACATCCGCAGTAGCCGCCTCTAACATCAGCAGAACCCGCCTCTAACATCAGCAGTAGCCGCCTCTAACATCAACAGAGGCCGCCACTAACATCTGCAGAGCCCGCCTCTAACATCAGCTGAACCGACCTCTAACATCAACAGAACTCGCTGCGAACATCTGCATAGACCGCCTCTAACATCAGCAGAGCTCGTATCTATCATTAGCAGAGCCCGCCTCTAAATCTGCAGAACCCGCCTCTAACATCAGCAGAACCCGCCTCTAACATCAGCAGTAGCCGCCTCTAACATAAGCAGTAGCCGCCTCTAACATCAGCAGATCCCGCCTCTAGCATCGGCAGTAGCCGCCTCTAACAACAGCAGAACCCGCCTCTAACATCCGCAGTAGCTGCCTCTAACATCAGCAGAACCCGCCTCTAACATCCGCAGTAGCTGCCTCTAACATCAGCAGAACCCGCCTCTAACATCAGCAGTAGCCGCCTCTAACATCAGCAGAACCCGCCTCTAACATCAGCAGTAGCTGCCTCTAACATCAGCAGAACCCGCCTCTAACATCCGCAGTAGCCGCCTCCAACATCAGCAGAACCCGCCTCTAACATCAGCAGAACCCGCCTCTAACATCAGCAGAACCCGCCTCTAAATCTGCAGAACCCGCCTCTAACATCAGCAGTAGCCGCCTCTAACATCAGCAGAACCCGCCTCTAACATCAGCAGAACCCGCCTCTAACATCAGCAGTAGCCGCCACTAACATCAGCAGAACCCGCCTCTAACATCAGCAGTAGCCGCCTCTAACATCAGCCTAACATCAGCAGATCCCGCCTCTAACATCGGCAGTAGCCGCCTCTAACATCAGCAGAACCCGCCTCTAACATCAGCAGTAGCTGCCTCTAACATCAGCAG